TATTGGAGGGGCCTGAAAGGTGTCAAAATTAGACATTAACCTAGAAAATGTAAATACCAATAACTATAAAAATTACGAAGTATAGACATGCTTTAAGGTAATTAAAACTTGAATTGGCAGTGGTTAGGAGAAAGAAAAGCTCTTATCTTGACAAATAATGAAAATAATAAATGTTAAAGTTTTCTTACTTTAATGGAAAGCTGGTGGTAACCTATGTCAGAAACAGAACACTGCAGTACAGCACACTCAGATTGATGATGCTAAACAATATGAACAAATCTGTCATTTTACAAGACTAGAGAACTTAAACTTTGCACCTTACATGTTTCATTGAACTAGACCTGCTGAGAAAACAGTCACTGTTGGGTTTGGGGTTTGGGTGTGGGTTTTTTTCCAAAACCATTCTGGGAATACATATGCAATCTTCCTCTTTGAAAGTTATTATGCTTTAATACCATTATGTCAGCTAAAATATTCACTGTTCTAAATACGACACTGAAAGCAAAGCAAGCTGTACTGTTATGGGCATTGACTCACTTTCCTTAGTTGCCTGCATAAACATTCACTAATGAACTATCAATATCGCTGAAACTTGAGTATTCTTGAGTTTTTATTGGCTAACTATAAAGTCACACCCCAAATTTCTTTCCAAATTTCTGACAAAGTATCACCGTAAGTCCTGTACAATTTTAACTGCCACACTAATTGTTATAGTTATGAAATCCAGCAAGTCTTCAGGGTCTTAAATAGAAAGCTCACCATGTCCTAGGCTTAATCAAAAGAAGCATGGCCAGCAGGTCACAGGAGGTGATTCTCCCCCTCTACTCTGCTCTCATGAGACCCCACCTGCAGTACTGTGTCCATTCCTGGAGTCCCCAACATAACAAGGACATGAACCTGTTGGACTGAGTCCAGAGGAGGGCCACAAAGATGATCAGAGGACTGGAGCACCTCTCCTCTGAAGACAGGCTGACAGAGTTGGGGTGGTTCAGCCTGGAGAAGAGAAGGCTCTGGGAAAACTTTATAGGGGCCTTCCAGTACTTGAAGGGGTACCAGGAAAGCTGGGAAGGGGCTTTTTACAAGGGCTTGTAGTGAGAGGAGAAGAGGTAATGGCTTTAAACTAGAAGAGGGGAGATTTAGATTAGACATAGAGAAGAAATTCTTTACTGCGAGGGTGATGAGACACTGAACAGGATGAAGTTGTGGATGCTGCCTCCCTGCAAGGGTTCAAGGGCAGGTTGGATGGGGCTTTGAGCAACTTGGTCTAGTGGAAGGTCTCCCTGCCCACATAAGGGGTTGGAACTAGTTGATCTTCCAACCCAAACTATTGTGTGAGTCTATGATATAATAAAATATTTACATTTTTTTTCAATATACCTGATAAAGTATAAAGGACTGGCTCTGAGCAGCAGGAAATCCAAGTGTTGAGTTAAGGTATAGGGAACAGCATTTCACAAAACAACTGGATGAAAGCAAAATCATTGGTTTTAATAGAAAGCAGACTCGCTGAAATCTACTGCAAAGGATTTAAAAAAAAAAGGGAAAAGAGAAGTGACCCCTCCCAGGTGGTTAGAAGTCCCCCACTGTTGAGAAGGGTTGGAATGCTCTTGCCCCAGTGAGTATTATCAAACCAGCCTCACCAAAGGTCATCTCTACAGATATTCACAAATTATATAACAATAAATTGTCTGCAAATTAAAATCCTTTAAAGAACAACCACAAAACCTTGCACAACACTTTCACACCTTCGGTGCATTCTATATTGTACAAATCAGCCCTTAAACCAAAAGACAATGCAAACAACTCTTATAATGGTGCATCCACACAGGATAAATGGGTTTGCCATTAAGAACATCACACTTCAGCAGAAGTGCTAAAAATGTTTAAATGAAAAATATAAGTGTATTTTCCAGTTTGGGTTTGGGTTTTGTTGTTTTGTTTTTTTTCTCAGGCCTTTTTTTCCTATAGTATAGCACACCTGAGACAGACTTCTATCACAGGAAAACTTACATTAATACATTTGGTTAAATGTTTGTTGCCAACTGCTTGATGGATGGGGTGGGTCATTAATCATATGTACATGGCTTTGGATAAAAATGAAGCTCATTTGAAAAGCCAGGCAGAAAAACTGGAAAATAAGAAGGTGCAGGAGGCCGTTGTGTTGGAGAAATTAGCATGGAGTAAACTAGGGTGCGAATTTTCAGTGCATTACTTACTCTGCAGTAATTATCTACATGGATGTTTTCATTCATACTATAAATATCTCTATACTTCATTAATGGGGCATTCTGCATAAAACCCAATCTAGCCAGATCCACAACCAGTACAGTGATGAGATGCAGTATTTACTGGAGATGGTACACTGCCACACTTCTACAGCTACCCTGTCATCAGCACTCCCTCTGGAATCTCCACCCAGCAGGGCTCAGCTTTGTAATCACTGCAATGCAACCTGCTATGCAGGGTAAGTCATGGCGATCCCAGCTTGGCAATAGTAAAGAAATACTCCTCCTCCAAAGTTCCTTTCCTACATTTTGTGGGTTTTTTTGGTAAACAACAGCAGCCAATCCAGGTTCTGAGCTATGCCATATGCACAGCAAGAGGCATTGCTCTTCCTCTCAGGCAGATGCTGCATCTGTGGCAACAACTCCAGTTCTGTGCCATGCAGTCTGCAACTCAGTAGGTTCCTCCTGACAATTTACAGGCAAACCTTCCCCTCCAAATAACCAGTTTGCTCAAGTCAGAATTATGCACAGAATCTGCATGTTCAGACATGCAGACAGAAATCCAGAAGAACCACCATGTCAGTCATAAAACAGCTTATTTGAATTAAAGCATCACTGGTGTTCAAGGCAAGTGGAAAAGACAAAGGGGGAAAACAGGAAAGGGGACTGGAATTTGGACAGTGTACTAAGGTGACTGATGGGTCAAGGTGATATTGAAACTAATAGCTATTAAACTCCATTTGGTAATTTATTTTTTGTTGAGTCAATGGGACAAATTGAAAAAAAATACACATAAATTTGTTACTAAGTAATCCTACAAACAATTGGGCTGCTACATTCCCCGCATGAATGTGTCTTCTGCATTACTCCACTGAATTTAAAAAGCAGGTGAGATGTATAAAATAGAAGGCATTTCACTTTTTTTTTTTGGCCTCTGTACTACAGTTCATTACCTTCATCAGTCATACTAGTGCAGCTGGTCTATGACCAACAAAGTATGGCACAGATGTGAAAGAAAACTGAGCAGCCGTGCACAGAAACTTCATAGGTTCCCACCTGCCAAAGCCAGTGTGAGCTATGGAATAGCATATATCCTGCTGGTCTTAATATAATGCAGGACTGAGTGACAAGAAAACTATCACAGTTTTAAGAAAACAGTGTGTTGGGTTTTTTTCAGCTATTCTATTACTGACCAAGTGTTGGGTGGGGGTTTTTTTCTGTTGTTATGGTAATACGTATTTTATCGTATGCTTTAAAATAAACAAAAATGTGATACTTTAGTCTTGTAATATGTATGGTAGCTTTGCAGGTTTTCCATTCTGTTCTCCCTTCTACCCTCTCAACCCCCAAAGGAAAAAAGAAAGACAAATTCTCCTTAATTTTCACTTGTGGGGTCTCTGTCCTAAATAGTGTTGGAATGCTTATGCTGGAGACACTGCATGAAAATATTATGCCATCCAATGCAAACCAAAATCCTTGGCTTCACTTCAGTTTTTAAGATTTACAAGTAATGCTATTAACCTTCTTACTCTGAGAATGTTTCTTTAAATAATATTAACTGGTTTTAATATTGGTTTAAATCTTGTTTGCTTTGCTTTGCTGTTGCCTCTGTGAGCACTGACACCTCCTTTCAAACTGGATTCCATTTATTTCGGTGAAGTTTCGCACAGTCTTGAAGATTCGCGTGCAAGGGCCAACCAAGTTCTGGTATGACGAGTACCTGTCACAGTTATGTTCAACCTTATGCAACACCTATGTGCTCAAAACTTACTTTCAGGTAGTTCATGCAAGATTTGCTGTAACACAATCTGATAGGTAACCTGTCCCTAATGCTTACAGGTATGAGTTGAGCAAACCTAGCCTGAACAAACTTCAGGTCAGATAGGATGCGACATGAGAACTCCTGTATGACAGCACCCTTTAGTCCTTATACAACCCATGGGACATTGTGGCACATGGTGTTTAAAGCATTAAGAATGAGGTTAGCTCTGGGAAACTGGAAGTTCTGCAATATCGTTTGGACTTGCTGTCTACACAGTTCAAGAGTTATTACACATATCACTTTCCCCAGTCATCTGAATTATGAGTCATGCAAACCGAAAGCGGAAGGCGTATGTGTGAACAAAGCAGATGTGGATGTTTGTGGAGCTTGTTGTGAGGTTTACTTAGATCATTTTCTGTTCTGCCTCGTATAGAGCAAGTAATTTTGAACCTTTGGCAAGTTTAAGTAGCTGCTACCTCGGCAACAAATTGGGACTGAGACACGACTGTTAAAGGATAAAAACCTCACACTGGTAAATATCTGGAAATTGCCTATGACTCAAACTTCCACCTACAGCTGAAAGCCTGGCCATCTTTGTTTGGTTTAACTGAGCAGGAGCAAGAAAAACCCAGCAGCTGTGTGCTCAGCCCGGTAAATATACAAAAATGTCTCAAGAATCCTGGTCGTCCATAGGTTGTCTGCAGGACACCCTGCCACGGACAGGCCAATTAATAGCCAAAAGCACATGCAGAGTAGAAATACTTTCCAAATCCAGAAAGCAAACCTGAAATTGGATCCGTGACAGGCTCTTGGAGCTCAAATAGCAAGTCTCCTCCTTCGGATCTGATTGCAAGCTCAGGATAACCATCTATAATAAGCTAATTTTTTACTTCAACCGAATTTGAAATGTGATCTGACTGAAGGGAAACTTAGGCTTAAATAAATGTTATTAAATCAGAAAACCAAACAAAAAAAAACCTTATGAGAATGCGCATATATTCAACTATTCTGCTATGAACGTGACAGAATCAACTCACACTGCAGGCCTTTACAAGTGGGGCTCTGTGATGGCTGAAGCACACGAGCAAACAGCGCAGGCAAGAAGCAGCCAAGCTGCTGCCATTAACCGGGTACGCCAGATGCGCAAATTTCCCTTTCCTCCTCGGCTCTACCGCCAACCCCGTGGCGTAACTGCTTTCGCGAATACGGATGCTGCACTGCGGCGGTGGCACAGTTCAACCAAACTCTCTCCCCCCTCCTCCCACCCGGACGTTAAGGCCGCCCCCTTTCTCGGCTGTGATTGGCAAGGCGGGCGGAGCCCTTCGCGGCGATTGGCGGCTGCCGGCGAGAGGTGGGGTAGGTTGCGTGCAGGGTAATAAAGTTAGTGGGGCTGCGCGGGTGCGCTCTAGACGCGGCGGCGAGTCGGCTCTCTATGGAGGCGGTGGGGGGAAGCGTTGG